CTTTTTGTCGCTGGTAACGATGCGGTTCAAAATTATTTCGCTTGTATGCCTGTTGAGCAGTGCAATGCACGTCTCGATGCGTACTTTGCGCTGGCGATCTTTGAGTTCGTGGGTTCGTGGGTTCGTTCGTGGTTTATTCGACAAGCTTTTTTATATTGCGAATGTGATGCAAATGGATCAATATTGTTTTGGTGGTAAGATCGAAAGCTGTTGCTAATTCAGCTGTAGATTGACTATCATCAGCTTCCACAATCGTCTTTAATTCTTCATTGCCAACCAAAGTCTTCGGACGATCACGGGACTCATCGGGTCGCAATTTCCAGAATGGAAGCGGGCAAACCAATAACAGGTGGTGCGTTCCTACGTAGTATTTGCTCCGTAAACGTCGTTAATGTTGCGTGCCGCTTGTGCCGCGTTGCTGTCACGAAGGTACTCATATTCCATTTTTAACGTATACAAGATAACGAAAAAGATTCAAATGTGACGAAAACATAACGCTAATCAATAAACAAATGACTGATCTTTAAGGGATTCCATGCTTTGAAAATAAAATTATTTTAAAATTAGAATTCTTAGCCAAACCGAAATTATTTTGATTTGAAATGGCTAGAACGGTAATTTCATAGGTCACTTTATATTTCAATTGAATAGTTCGAAAGAAACTACCACATTCCGGTTTCTAGAGAAGACAAAAAAATTGTTTCAATATGAACGCATTTCTTATGCGTTGGACATGGTACTGGAAAAAAATAAAAGTAATAAAAGTATGAAAAGAATTTGAATATGTAAATGCTCAGAGTTATGTAATAGAAATCGAAATAATCTTTGATCTATCTAATTTATTTTTGATATGAATGAAGCTCTAATTAGCGTATAAAGCTTCTTGATGTACAGTTCTTCAATATATTCTCGCGAGTCATAAATGTAGAATTTCTTACTTTGGATTTTAATATTAAAGAATAGCCGTGAAAATTACAAAATAAGCGAGAAAATAGCAGAATCAAATCTTTTTCTTCATAATTTTTTTTAAAAAGATTGACAAAGTATCTCCCGTTGAAAAGAAGATTTTAACTTTAATCATCACCCTTTAATCGTCACCACGGCAAAGAGATTGATAATATCAATTAACCTTTAACGCTGCTGCCCTAAGCTGGTCTGATTATTTTACGTCTGGATTAAACGAGACGGTACTCGTAAAAATTTTCTGGCATGTCCAATTGTTGTCTCTTACGACCCATGGCACGAAATGGGATGATGGATATTTACGCTGCCAAGTCTAAAATTTTCACAGATAATTAAAGTATAATTTAGTATCTGCATCACAGCAAAATTCATTTCGCGAACATTGCTTGTTAGTCAAATTATCCCAAAGTTTGAAATATTCTGTTTCAATCTTGTCTGCAATTCTTTTTCAATCATCTACCCTAAATCATCGAATAAATTATAATGACATTACTTCGCAGCAAATTCCCTGAAACGCAAACGTCAACAAGCTTTAATAAAAATAGACACGATTTTCCTTTTGACACCGATACTATGATCTTCTTTATAATAATCCTTAATAAATGTATTACTCCATAGAGATTTACGAAATTAATATAAATTTATGAAATATATTCTTTTCTATCATATGTACATATATGTATCTATATCAATGTTTAATTTACAAAAATGTTAATACTTTATTTATTTGTATTACTTTTTATGAAAATTCATAAAGCAATAGCTGCAAAATCTTTAAAAAAGAAGTATGGCTTGAAAAATTGTACTTTTTTTGTGCTCAAGTACCGTAACGTAATTATGTAATGCATTGTTCATTTTATTTGTTCCCTACCTAAATTTTATATTAGATTGTTCATTTTAGCTTGGGGCAGCAATTTTAAAATACTTATTCATAATAAATATTAGTATTTCATATAAATATTAGTGTACACGCCCTCAACTGTCCTGACAAAGGTCGACTATACAGGGGCCCATACAGCTGTAGACTCGACGGATAACTAAGGACGGGGCCCAAATGGCCTATGGATAATTGACCTACACGACAGAGGAAAGGCTAAATAAATAGTACGTACCTGTTCAGAGGCAAAGACTGGACACAAGGCTCGGTCAGGCGTACCTAACGCCTGACCGAGCCTTGTATCATGTGTGCATGTAAGTGGTGTTTGTTAGTGTGTTAAAAATGTGGGGCCTGACTTAACCCTTTTAGTCGGCAGCAACTCTGACTCCAGCACCGCTACCCTATGTGGTATCCTCCAGCGGCGTCACCAATGGACAATTTCTTTCTTCAATTCACTATGTCAGTCTATCAACTTTATTGTACATTTAACTAACTTCAAAACTCAACTAAATCCCGTTAATTATAATCAAAAACGTAACACGCGGCACGACTGATGAACGGGGGGTCAAAGTTCACTTCCGTTCACTCAGCAACAAATTATTTCGAGAACCGAACGCGACCTTCTAAGGCAGTGATCACGCGGCCCGAGTAGACTCACTGCAATACTTAGACAACCTCATCCGAGGCGGTCTTTACGAAACACAATTTAGGTAGCGAAGTAACGCGCACAAATACTGAAAATCTAGACCATAAAATCAAAACTGGTCGCACGAAATCGCTGCCACGGTCACCACAAATACGTTACGTTGCAACGGCGCCGCTGCACTCAAGCTACTGTTTTCGCCCACGAGCGCCAAACGCTGGGAAGCTGCATACCGATGCCCCCTCCGCGCGACGCGCGTGACACTTAACACCATCGGGCGATTCGCTAAGTCGAAGGCGATTGGATGCCGTCTCAAATGACCATTTTTGGGCCTAAACAATTAGATCTGTGACCTCGGGCTTCGGTCAAAAGTACTTTCGACGGCTTTCATCAGGCAAAAGTAGTTTTGACTGGAAACCATTTCTGGCTGTAACGTATCCAAGGAACACTAATATTTCCCTTGGCACAGATCCAAGGCAAAACAATTGCTTTCACTTTTTTATATATACTTGTAGCTAAGTTAAGTTGTTTGGCACATATATTACAAACACTTTCAATTTCCATTTCTATAGTAAATATTCTAATAAATTCTCGCTTATACTTAATCTTTTCTCGACCTCATTCTTCAGACAAGCTCACTATTGTTGCTATTTGATTTTCAGCTACGACGTGACCCAAAGGGTTTTCTACATCGATTACGAAATCATCCATCATACCTGCCTTACCGATCGTTTTAGGTGAAATGATATTCATTGAATGAGCTTTGATGTGTAAAAATATACCTCTTGAGAGTTTTTTAATCAGTTGTGTTGTATCTCAAGTATGTTAAAAATATCGCAAAAATGTTTAGTCATTTTTAGCGTTCCATAACTCAAAAGGATAAATACAGAACCCTTCTAGAATCACTTTGTTGGCTGCCTGTTACGACTATTTTTCATGAACAACAAGACGTATCAAATTCAAATTAGTATGAAATAATTAAAATCTACTATCTCTAGCATTGTTACTCAAAGGTGAGGCGTGCTAAGATGCCCATTGGTAACCTTGATTTGGTTCAGAGTAGACAGCCTCTTGGTATTCTATAGGATGTACATGCTTGAACTCCTTACTCTCCTTTCATCATCGGACAACAAGGCGGTCGGCGGGTCTTCCCTCCTTTGTTGTCGATATTCCACGCATGAGAATCAAACTGTTTGCTTCGTCTTTTGTAGTGCGTACAGCAAAGAAGTGGAATAATTTGCCGGCGTCTATCTTTCCGTTCGAATACAATCTGGGCGTCTTTAAGGCAAGAGTGGGGTTTTGTTAAGCTAACCATTGCTGTTTAAAATTATTTTTAGGAATATGCATTTAGGCAAGTATGTTTTATATAAGAGAAAACAAACGAGCGTTTAGTTCTTATACATCGGCGGTCAGCAGGGTGCAACGGCAGTAAAGTTGACATATTTTTAAGGGAAACGAAATACACTTTACACCCCAATATGCATGTACTCGTATACGAGATGTTTTGACAAGCCAAAATGCATGTTCTCGTATCTGAAGTGTTTTGGACAAGAAAGAAACATCTTGCTTCTTGACTTATACTTCTCTACTTCTCATATTATATAGCGGATGTCCCGATTAAGATATTCAAATTACTTACAAAACTAAATTTAATTCGCGTAAAAGATAAAATGGTAATAAAAAGAAATTATATTTACTAGGTGGCATAACTCCTTTCCTGCCTGGGATTCCATCTGTGTAGGCACCACACACATACTGTTATAATATTTTTTCAGCCAAATAGCAGTGCTTACACAACTGTATTGCGGTCTGAAACGTATAGAGAGAAACATGTTTTTATAGTAAAAACGAGCACACAGTCCTCGTAGTCGTAGTCCTCCAGTAATTTGATGCTGTGGCCCACAGACATCTAAATTTAGTCTCGATTAAGAATCAAAATGCAGATGCGTTGTCAGTCGTGAGGAGTAAGGATGGAATGCCTCGTTTCCAGTAAAAAGGCTCTTCGGTTCTCTACACTCACCATACGAAACACAACAACGTTAAGCTGTTATTTTACGCTGGTAGCATGATGTTAGGCAAGAGGATGGTATCAACCCAGACGGATTCATAGAAAGTAAATAAGCCATTGCCCCTCGAACCTGCAGATACTTACACCGCTATTTTACAGATAGTGTATATGTTAACCGACGACTCAGTGAAAATGACTACGCATTTAACCGCAGTACCAATTGTCGCGGGGTTGAATCCCACACGGAACAAGTATGTGCATGGTCTGCAAAAAAAAGTATCTTAGTCCTCACGTCTGACAACGCATCTGCATTTTAATTCGCAAACGAAGATAAATGTAGATGTCTATGGGCCACAGCAACATGGACTGGACTGTGTGCTCGTTTTTCACCCTTATTCTATAAAAAAAGATCTAGTCAAACATATGCATATTTATGAATTAAAACAGTGTTTTGAAAAAAACATTATTTTGATAATTTATTCGAAAGTATAACAATGTTTTGTTTACAGAACCATCTCCACTATACGACAACAATCATTACCACGAGGAATGTCTTCGTTGCAACTCCTGCGGGTTGAATCTTACTGGACCCAATCAGGTCAGTACTTCTTAGTCAATACTGTGTAATTTTAAACTTTATACAATACAGAAACTTTGTCAAAACAAACATTTCATAAATTGTATGAGAGTGAAACGTTATGATGTTATTGCTCTTGTATTCAAATAATCTAAGTTTATTATTATTTTATATTTTTAAATATTAAAAATCTAATTTAAAATAAATTAGATTTTTAATATTTAAATATACCAAGTCTTAAGTCACTACTTAAAGTAGCAAGTTAAATAATGCAGTTATTTATTAACGATAGTCCAAAATTCAAACTCACCTGCCAAATACTGATTAAAGAAGGTAAGTATGTACAAATGTCAATTAAAAACCCTTTTTAACTTAATTTATGTCTTAATATATGTTAAGTTAAGGACATTTACTTCCAAAATACATTTCATTTGTATACATTTAACTCACGTGGTAGAGCCAAGCTGCAGCTATATTTATAATACAGTTGTAGCACAAATGGGTCGGCTCAACCGGGGAAGGACCACGCTCTCACAGAATACCAGCGTAAAATAGCAGCTTAACACTGCTGTTTCGTATAGTGAGAGTAGAGAACCGGAGACCCTTTTTACTGGAAACGAGGTATTCCATCTTAGTCCTTATCTATACTAACAACGCATCTGTATTTTGATTCGCAAACGAGGATGGATGTTAGATGTATATGGGCCACAGCAAACACTTACCATCAGGTGGACTGTGTGCTTGTTTGTCACCTTATTTGTATTTGAAGAATAATCCTGGCTTTTTAAATTTTAACTTTCGGAACCCGAGTAAATTCCATAAACACATGTAAAACGCGTAATTTCATAACGACTTATTGGAAAAAGTGGCAAAAGCCAGAAAGTAACTAACAAGAAAAACTATCTTTAATGTATTTTCAGAATGGCTAACCTTCGTCATCATTATCACCACCATTACAGTTCATCACGAGTCCACTGCTGAACATAGCCCCCCCCCCCCCAAGGAATGCCACAAAGCACGGTTCCGAGCCACCTGCATTCATTGCTCTTCTGCAACCTTGAAAACATCTAATTTAACAGTGCATGTTAATGCACTATTCTATATATTATAATAAATAAATGTTTCACACAAAGTTTATTAATGAAAATTATTTACATTTAATAACTTAGTTTTAAATGTAATTACATTCTGGATATTTTTATATAATTATCTTTATTCTATATTATTCTAATTTCAAACTGGCTGTATAATATGCTGAATGTAAAATAATACACAATAATAATTCGGCTTAACCATGGAAGCACAACGTTCCTTCAGCATGTCAGCATATATGCTGTATTTGGTGTCGTTAATAAAATGAAACGAAGATTGAATTTCATTATATTCAGTAACTAGTTTTCAACAGTGGTAGAGCCACGTGGCGGCTTTTGCTGTCGCACGGATGGGCCGGCTCGAACCGGGGTGGTACCACGACCTCACAGAATACCAGCGATTTACCTCTGCGTTTCGCTTGGTGAGTGCAGGTGGCCGGAGGCCCTTTTTACTGGAAATGAGGCATTCCATCTTAGTCCTCACGGGTGACAACGCATCTGCATTTTGATTTGTAATAGAGGATAGATATAGATGTCTATGGGCCGCACCAACCACTTACCATCAGGTGGACTGTATGCTCGTTTGCCACCCTTATCTTATAAAAAAAATAGTCTTCGCGGAAGAACACGTAACATAATATAAAAGTTAAACCCACTCTTTACCTAGAAGCCTTCGCACTTCTAGTTAAAAATTGTGTACTATCGGTGGGTAAAATATCATTCCAGTCCGTTTAGTTATCGGATAACAAATATTCAAATATCTTTACAAAGTTTAACTTTTTTTGGGATAAGGGTGATAAACGAGCACACAGGCCACCTGATGATAAGTGGTTGCTGTGGTCCATAGACATCTACATCTATCCACGATTAAAAATGCAGATGTGTTGTCACCCGTGATGACTAAGATGGAATGCCTCGTTTCCAGTAAAAATAATCTCCGATTCTCTACACTCACCATACGAAACACAGCAGCGTTAAGCTTCTATTTTACGCTGGTATTCTGTGAGAGCGTGGTCTCTCCCCGGTCGAGCCGACCCATTCGTACTACAACTATACCGGTAATATAGCTGCAGCATGGCTCTACTGCGTAAATTTTAATAAATAATTAATAATGTATACTTTTACTGGGTTAATAGCAACCACTAACACTATCACAGCCTAAAAAGATCACAGATAACAAGACGTCTGCATTTTATTTATTTTATCGAAATCACATTGACTTGAATGGGTCACGATGATCCTGCGCTATTGAATAGACCAAGTGTTAGTTATAGAATAGGGTGACCAAAAAGAAAAAGCGGTCGGAACGGAGTGATTTAAAATGAAATTTATTATAAAAACAGAAAAAATATCTGAGCTAATCATAAGCCGTTAATTTCAACTTCATCTTTTAGACTTAGTTAAGCCTGTTATTTTATAAGGATTAAAAACATCAAAAGTAAGAGGACTGTCAAAAAGAAAGCCAAGAAGATAGATAGATTAGGTTATCGATTCAATTTTGTAACTGATCTTAAATGAGTTTTTGCTGACAAAATTAAAATGAAAATAGAAAATACAAAGATTTGAAAGGGTTGGTATATCGTCAGAGCAATAAAGATCAATCTTAGAGATAACTTCGTAGTATCGTTGCTAAAATTTCCAGAATGGGAACAAATATAAACGCCAAATCCGACCACTGAAATATTTTAAAGGTATAATATTATTAATACTTACCGTTTTATTATTTAACTAGCTGATACCCGGGGTGTTGTAAATAATTGTGGAAAAATGCGTTTCGAGTTATATTGTCTATGTAAATATAATATTATTAGAAATGATAATATATTCATTGCAGTAGAATGCAAATTACTTTCAAATAAATTTGTCGGTACGATACGCGCGCCACCTGTTGTAAGTTAATTGTACTATGTCTGTAACCTTCACGCAAGCAAAGAAAATAACGCAAGTGCAAGCAATATGTTGACAAAGTTTTACCGCAATCTGATGAATGGTGTGGCAGCGCATAAAATACGAACAAACAAACATTAATTTTATATAGATATTAGATACAAATTAGCATCACAACTGGATAATTTGAAAGCTACATTATACGGTCTTACATACTTTTAGTATCATACTTTGTTATCATAAATTGTCTGTCTTCAGTCGGGCAGTTTTAAGGAAATTACGACATAAGTATCTCCTCCGCACGCGCTTTTGAAAAATACTGCGCTCTCGCACTTTACTCTAGTACAGAACCGACAGCCGCTGGAAAAAAATTCCTCGAGGTTTCAGTCTCGTTTCAGTTAGCGCTTTCTTATTCTAGTACTGCACGGCTAGCCATGGGGACAAAAAATGTATCCCCCGATTATATCCACTGACAAGAGATAAAATTATCTTGTCCATGCCATGCCAAAGCACAGCAACGGGGAGAAGTATATACCCGTTTGACATAACGAGTAGACATATATTCCCCGTCCTTAGCATGGAGCCAAATGAAAAATAAAAAAATATGTTTTTTTGACATTTGAAATGGACAATTTTATCCTAGTTCATTGGAAGTGGGTTTAAGTTTATATTCATACAAAAATGTATCTAAGTTTCCCGTGTTATCTACTGTGGATTTTATATCCACCGGTGTGCTCGAAGGGTGGATGAAAGTAAGCGAGGGGATAAATATTTTCTCCTTTCCCAGGAGATAAATTATCTCCATGCCCATGCTAGCCCTGCTGGATTGAATGACGATCGAATAAGGCAAGTAGGGCGTCAATAGATGCTGATAGTTTAGTCATCGAGGCAGGGAGCAGTTTCTGAGTAAGGTGATTAATGTTCAGGATCTATAAATTCGTCAAAGCATATAGAAAACTTTATTCAAAAAACATTATATTCAAAACTTTAATTCAATAGATTATAACGGATATTCTGATATTAGAATGTAGTGGCTACATGATGCTAAGACAAACTGTAGGTATAGAAGAATTAAAGATTCAACTACAAAAAGTGAAATTGTTTATATTCTTTTCAATTCTTTTTTATAGGAATAGGGTGACAAACGAGCATACAGTCCACCTGATGGTAAGTGGTTGCTGTGACCCATAGACATCTGGATCTATCCTCGATTACAAATCAAAATGCAGATGCGTCGTCACCCGTGAGGACTAAGATGGAATGCCTCGGTTCCAGTAAAAAGGGTCTCCGGCTCGGTACACTCACCATACGAAACACAGCAGCGTTAAGCTGCTATTTTACGCTGGTATTCTGTGAGAGCGTGGTCCTTCCCCGGTCGAGCCGACCCATTTGTGCTACAACTATACCACTAATATAGTTGCAGCATGGCTCTACCACGTTCTTTTAAATCGGTACTCATTTATTTATTTACTTAGGTACACAAAACAGAATAACATAACATAACATAAACATCAAAACATGAACATTTGAACATAATAAATGCAACATTACAATGTGGATGGTATTCCAAAACATGTGCACACAACATGATATTAGGTAACAGTAACAGTTTACAGCGGAAATACTAATAATCTTACTTATAAACGTATATACTTATAAACTTAAGTTGTGGAAAATATAGAAAAATTAATTCTTTATTAAAACTACTAAATTACTACTAAATTATGCCTAATATATTCCTAAATCTGTTTAAACAACATGTGCTACCATATTAATTATAATAGGACTACTTCTTCGGTCTAGTTGTCGTAAACGTGGTTGCTGATCATGAGTTCCCGGTTTTGAATTTCGGTTCTGGCCAGAATCAGGTATGGGTGTTTTCTTTCAAGAAATTTTCAGTAGCAGGCAGGAGTCAGGGAAGTTGTGGTGTTTCACCTCCGTGTCCCAGAAAGCACATAAAGCCGCTGGTCTATGAGGTGGTGAGAGCCAGGTAATAGAGAATGCACCTGTTGAGAAAGCACTATAATCCTTTATTGCGCAGAA